GCTCCCTGTGGTCAGTTTATAAAGTTAGTCATTTATTGTATAATCTAATACTTTGACATCTTTAAAAAGACTGCACTTTTTTGAAATTATGTTCATTTTGATCTAATCAAACGAACATTTTATTCAGAGTCAGGGCGTAAAACGTTTTATTAACTGGACGACTTGAACATAACCGTGTTAACCGACAGAGACTTGGAGTTCGAAATATTCGAATATGCAAATGAGTAGTATGCAAATCTGATTGGACGCAGTTGTGATAAGCAACGCGTATTCCTGCGCGTATCGAACTGTTCGGAGATTGACACAATGAGTGTAAAATACCTTGTTTATTTACATGAAATTTGAACACGCGCTGCACTAAGACTGACTTGAGAAATAATCGGCTTTAGATATTTTAACAATTTTCCTGTAAGATTTTGGTAAATTCTGATACGCTGTTTAGGAGTGATACGTTGGACACGATTTGTCGTTGAATTGACTGGAATGAAAAAAAAAGACTACAGTACTACCAGAGTGAGCAGTAACAGATTTATCAATATTTATGTCAGAGAATTATTTAGGACTTAAATTACCAAATCTTGGTTTTTCATAGATTCCAAAATCTGAAGATGTGTTTCCTTTTTTTCATTGTCACACAGTGTCACTCAATTAAAACCATATACTATAGTAATAGTAATCCATGTACAAATTATATTTTATTCACATTATTTTCCTCACATACATGTACAGACAATCCAATGTTTACATTGTCATTTTTCTTTGTTCATCACAAGTCTAAATAAAATTTGTGATCTGTGTAACGTAGCCTGTTTTTTATTAGCATAATTGTTGCAGCCAGTTGCAGCATCTGGAAATGTATTTACACTGTTATGTGAATCTTGTAGTGTGGCGATGAACTGCCGAGACTTTGTCAGGGTGGGCATACTGGCTGTTGAGTGGCAGGGGTGCATCATCAAGTGTATGTAATACACAATCTCCTCCAACATACAAGTCTAGTGTATTGAAGAGCTCTTCTACGTAATCTGTAAATTATAATGAGAGCATTTTGATTCAACAATAGTAAATAGAAAACCATAAAGAATCATATCATACATGCTCTATTGAAGTACATTTCCAGTAGAAGCATCAAAATTAAAATTAAAAGAAAACATATTTTGACATTCCAGACGTTAC